AGACGGCTTGCTTGTAGTTTTGAATGTGTCTACATGTGTCTACTGTCTAGCATTTATTATGTGAGACAGAAACTACCATGTTATTTTCCTTGGCACGGTAGAAACTTAAATGGTGCTCCGAAAATTCTGCTCGATAGCCAACTAAACTAAGAAGGAAAAATCTGGAGGATGGCGGATGAACGCAAACGGGGAAAGTTGAGAGGAAGGGAGTTCACGGACAATGGAGAGAACGGTGGGACAGGAAACTGGAAAGTATCAAAGATTTGTGGTTTTCATTAATAGCTATTTTAATTGCAACTCTTTTACTCTGGGCTCCTTCAATTCCCTCTTGCAGAAAACAATTTTTTTTGTAATCTCGATACCTACTACCACTCTCCATCTGATATTCGTACACGATTTTTTTTATTAAACAAGCTCTCTCAAAATACTACGATAATGTACTGTTCAATATTAATAGTTTCTTAAATGTACTTGTATCGGTTACAAACTGAATCGCATTCACTTTAAAATCAAAGTATTATTATTAAATGGCAACGTAGATAATAATTGCTATATTCCTTTATTGATAAAATATGTCTTTATTAAATAATTCATAATAAGTCGACCATTGAACAATATTGAATAATCGTCTGCATAATAACGTTTGTACCTACTAGAGTTATTGGAAAATCAAACACTCGGTTTGTACGTCTACGGTAACTAATTATACATGTATCTTGGTCAGTGAAGCACCATGACGTATTAGAATGTAAGATGTCTTTGGGCACGAACAAATCGTCGGTAGATAAAATAAAAAATGTTCTAGTAAAATGCGTCTGGAAAGTCTGAATGGACAAGTTCTGTAAGTATAAGAAAACGTTCGGAATGCCCACGAGAATCCTGTAAGTATAAAATGGCTAGGTAGGTATTTTTATCTCCTCCGATTTAAAAAAAACAATTTTGACGTCACGATTCCTGCATAAGCGTAACGGTCATTCGGCTACAAACTCCACATCAACCCATATTATGTCCGTCGAGTATTCTATACAAAGTTGTATCCGATCTCATAAATGTTTAACCATACATGCACGATAATTGTATGCAACGCTAAACTTTCCTTTACGCTTTCTGAATGTAGAACAAATTTCACCCAAACAGTATAATACGTATATAACCCTTTTACAATACTTCCAACTCGACTCCGATAAAGTACCTTAACTAAAACGTCTTGGAATGTCTGGATACCGATATTATAATATGTTTGGCCACTTTCAAACATTTTTATCTCATTTCAAAAATATTATTCATTTTTTTGTAGTAAAATGCTCTAATTAATAACATTAATTAGAGCAAGTAGAGCAATCGCTTATAATGAATATCTATTACAATTATAAGAAACCCAAATATCTTCAAAATTAATATTACAAAACTACTTATCGACCGGCTGAAATGTTCAGTAGGGTTTTCTATGTTTAAAAATATAATAAAATACATACGTTTGATACCATTTAAGTTCCAAAATTGATTGCTTTAAAAAATATCAAGATAAATAAATACCTACGAGTAAATATGCTATAATTTTTTAAAATAACATACACTAATTTTTTTTTTAAACTTATTAGAATTTTCTTTTCTTTAAGAAATTTCAATTAAAAATAGATTTCAATTTTTACGCTATACGGCACAACTACATCAATTGTAATTATGCATGTTTTTTCTTTACAATTAATTGTACTCTACCAACATTTTCACCTTGTCTTCTAGAACGAGTGAATTTGAAAACTATCCAAAACACGCGTACCGTACATATCCACAACGTATGATGTAAAAGTAATATTAAAGAAACTTGTAAGATAAATTTATAAAATTTTGCGCTGAAAACTTTTCAATGCAATATTGCATGCCTTGTTAACAGAAACATTAAACTTTGTTCTTGACAATATTCTTGATATTTCAATGTTGTATACTTTTACGTTACAGATCTAGTATTTTACTTTTTTAATTTCATCGTTTCAAAGCTAAAAATAAGAACTCGCCACTTAATTTTGAATTGATTTGCATTTAGCGACAAACAATAATAATAATTATTTAATGTAAACAATGATTGATAGTTAACACATTTTCAGTAGTTATTTAAATATGTATAGGTTGCTCTACAAGAAAAATGCTAACCTCTTCTTTTTTTTATAATCCTCGGTGATGCAACCACATAAATTATGATAAATATTTGTTCATAAAGGGTCTCGACACTAATATATTAATTTTCGGTAAAGATTTATTGTAGAAATCGAGTACAACAATACTATTAAATAAGTACTATTTTTTATATTTTTTTAAAACATTAAAAAAATGTATATAAAATATAATATTTATTTACAATTTTTAAACAATACCTTTAAAGAAAGATAAAACCATTGTCATTTAAATTTGTCAGAAAACCTATATTTAATACGTAATTTGTAAAATTGCCGGGTATAACTTTTGTACCTAATAATATTATGTACTTAATAGATAATTTAAACAATTATTTTAGAACGTGCCTAATTAACAAAAGATAAGCTCAACTAAAGACGCAATAGAAACACACTAATAAAAAACACATGTTTCACTTGCACTTCAAAATTGTGTAGTTGATGACGTACATTTTTATTATACATTAAGAATTTTTAAAAAGATATGATCAAGACTATGAGACAATACAGTACATTTATTGGAGACTAAGTTCAGTGTAAGGTAGTGTAACAGTAGTGTGTAACAGTGGTATCATAATTTTGCTTTTTACAAAAGCCTTTTACAAAAAACTTACAGACAAAAAAGTGGAAGTTTGGCCGAATCAATACAAAAAGACTGAACAAAACTCAAGACAATTTGTTTTCTGTTTTACATTTCTTTATCAATGTTCAAACATTTTCATAACATTAACATATATATATATATATATATATATAAGAATAGATTGGAAAAAATACTACAATAATAATAATAAATTAATTATAAAATATGTTTCAAATACTACTATTAAAGTTTACGCTTGGAGTTTGTTTTTACAAACACATTAAAAAAATGGATTTTTTATAAATGTATAGATTTATCTACCACGTGAAAAAAATGCCGTATAATATCAAAGGTTTAATAATTTTAATTTAAAAGTCATGTAGAAAAAACGATGTAAATTAATAATCCTATTTTAAGTACAATAATTATGCTATAATGTATGTATGTATGTATTATAGCGTATGACATAGGTACATAAATATACAATGTAAATCTGATATTTATGTATAAGTGTACTAAAAAAAAAATTCGATTCGTATCCAACAAATTATTTTTATTTACAAAAAACAATTTTTATTTATAAAAAATAATCCCTTTTTTTAATGAAACTCTGATCACACATAGAAACTTTTTTCATATAATATTTACTGATTTTGAAATTTAAAAACTATTACACATCGAAGGCCCAACGCTGGTATCATATTATGATTGTTTCTTAACAAATTCGTTTGCGGCAATAATTTATTAAATTATCACTATTTTAATTATTAACATTTTAATACAGTGTACATTGACATATGTAGTTAACATTTAATTTTAAATTATAAAATAGTAGATAAATATTATGAACTGGAAATAAAAAATACAGAACTTTTATTTTGATCATTTTTAGATCTACCCATGTTGTCATTTGTTAGAAACCCATTGAAGGGTCAATCTTTATAAAAAGTCATAACATATAGTTGCGACAGTGGAACACTGACTATTTCTCTGAAGATGGACCATGAAATGGGTTGAAAGCGTCAGTCAAACTTATAGTTAAATCTATAAAAGCTTCTTTTTGAGACAAAATACACTTGAATGCTTGATTAACTAATTCTTTGTAACGACATCAAACATTATGATTAATGTTCTTAGAATTATTGGTTAAGTCAAAGCTTTGGTCTCTTTTTAACAATACACAAAATCATATACTAACCACTTTAATTGTCGCCTGAATATAATTTGAAAAAAAAAACAAAAGTCGTTTGCCAATTATTTATTTTATGCATCATTAACTTTGACCACGTTAAGAGTTAAAACTTCTTTACATTATTTTTATCAAAACAATAAAAATGTAATAATTTTATTTCAGCAACTTCAAATCTCTCTACTTGCTTATATTTCTACCACAACCTATTTGTTTTGAAACAGAATGTTGTAGTCAAAGTCAAATATGTGAAATACTTTAGTTAGTTAACAAATTGTTTTGATTATTTCAAAAAATTTATTTTTTTTTAAATGGACTCATTAAAAATGAGTCGAAGTAACAAAATTCGATTGCATGTTTTCAATTAGAGCGTGCTTACAACAAGTAATCTAAATTACATAGGCGATAAGTAATGAAGAAATTTTCGTTTCGATTTGTAAAGTTAATTTACGTTTGTAGTTCAAAGGCCGCAAGTGATTTCAAAGTATGAATCAAGAAAAAAAAGAGAAAAATTGTTTTAAAATGTATGAACTACTTACACATTGATTGGATTTATAAGATTTTCGTAAAGAAAGTCTTAAAATAAATTAAATCGATAATAATTTTGTGTTTATTCAACTAAACTTTTTACCCTCTTAGAAAATAAAAAAATTTACGAATATTCATTACTTGAGTTTTGATTTTTACTTACTATTTTTGTGGATATAATCTTAAAATGTAACTAGATTTCTTTACCGGAATCAATTAACTTATAATAAAGAGCTCTCGCTGTTTAAGTAATGTAATATGGTGACAATCCTTTTAAGTTTCCCTTAAAGTTGACCATGGTATTTTTCCTAAACTCAAAGAAACAGAGATAAAACAATAAAACTCACTTTTTCAAAATGTCAGTTTTGGTGTCATAAAATTCGTTTTGAGTTTTTCTTAGATTAAAAAAAAAGTGACTTTCCTAATTCCTTCCTGCGCCCTTGGACTATGATGCAATTTTTTAAGCTTCGGTAGTATCTACGGCCATTGGCTGGCTGATAATAAATTGTATCAAAAATTGAATGCTCACCATTTTTCTTGTAGAATATCAACTCCAATTTGAGCTCTGCTTTGCACTCTAATGCCTTTTCTATTTGTGTAATATGTTCATCGCTTGTGTCAGTACCGTAGAGAAACTTGCAGGCACATCCTTTCTGCATAATTTGTGCCCTCGCAAACCCCGACAGTTCACAGAACCCGTCCGAACAGTATACTATTGGATAAAGTGACGGTACTTGAGCATTCCCAAGTACGAAATTACTATCTGTAAAATTAAAAAAAAATTATTATATTTGGATTAAAGTGCACAATATACTATAATAATAATTAGACGAATTCTTTTAAATTTTAAACATATACTTCATATCCTAAACTTTAAATAAAAAGAGATAGTAAAAAATAAAGACTAAATTGAAGTGTTGTTATACAATGAAGAGGAAACAGGTGTGATGCATGACAAAAAAATGTATCAACAAGAGCGTAAGAAAATTGTATTTTTAGTGTAATCGTTGAAAAGACAACAATGATATATGACAGTAGAGTTTGGCAATTAAATAAAAGATATGTGTGAAATAGATAGTCTAAACGATAATTCAAAATCTATCAAGTAATTGTATTAAGTCGAAATAGTTTTAAATAAGTTTGGGCGTCTGAAAAAATTGAAAAAAAATAAACTACAATAATGATGGACGGAAGGTGTCAAAAAGAGATTATTAAAGCGGTCGCTTGTTTAAAACAGGGTGGAAAAAAAGTTAATTGAAATTGTAAACGCGTATGCCATTAATTGTATTAGAAAATATTTTCGGATATTTGATAAATGAATTATGGTGTATAACATAACCTAGATAAGGGAATCCAAAAATCCGGATTTTTTGTAAAAATTATACTCAAGCCACTTAGAAATCTTATAAACATAAAATATTATTACAATATAAAACTGTGTGCCTAAGTAAAATGTCGATGAAAAAAAAAACGCTGAACTTTGACAATAAAGATTTCGAAATTTCCATCACTAATCAGTGGAGTCCCTAGACCCTTTTATTAGGGGGGGGGGGGGTGAACTTCATACATTGCATATATATATATATAATAATAATAATATATAAACACACTAATTACTAGTTAGTTTAAAAAATGGCCATGGGGGGCGACTGTCCCCCCCCCCTGAGGACGCCACTGTCACTAATATAACCTAAAAAACTACTACAACTAAAATGGTGGATTTTGCTAAACTCATTTTGGAAAACTGGAAAATAATTTCGTAAGGTATCCCCGCGGTTGTAATAAACGTATTTTACAAGCGAATTCAACAACCGAAAAAAGTAATTAGTTGCCGAGAAGAAAAATAATAGCCCAAATTAGTAACTGTTACCTACATAAAACCGTCGTATTAAATTAAAGAGCCTAACCGAGGTTTTTTTATTTTTCATTATTATTTTTATTTATCAACAGCCGTTGAAGAATGCGTTGAAAAACTATAAACATTTACACATAAATTGTAAAATACAAAATGCTCGAATAAAGCAATACAAAAATTACTTTTGGTGACATATACACAGCGCTCCACTATATTTTAAAATCATGATCTTACAAATTGAAAAATTATTACTCTTATCATGTCCTCTAAAAAGTTTTTTGGTGAAAAACTAAGTTGAACATATAAAAAAAATAACATATTTTTGGATAAACCGAAGGCAACATAGATAAGAAATATAAATATAAAAAAAATGAAAAAAACTGAGTCAATATTATTGTCTGTCTTTTGCTCCTTAATGAGTAAGAAGCTTTTATTTTAAACACAAACTACAGGAAATCGTGTTTTTAGGCCTTTTTAATTTTGTTCCAAATGTGACTAGCTTATAAAATTCCAAAAAATTATAATAATATTGTTCTTGTGAGATTAAAATCTTGATCCCTAGATTACCAAGTAGACATGTATTAACAATAAACATTTTTCAATTCAAAGGAAAGATTTTTGAGAAAATACATTAAGATGGAAATTATAGATCAAAACCTATAATTTTTGGTCTCTTAAGCCTAAAAATTTGGTGGTCCTTTCATGCACCTTATAGTATGAATAGAGTTCATAGAGTGTAGCAAATTACTTGTGCTTCTGGTCTTCTGGACATTTGCCGGTATACTCTATACTAAAAAATCAAAATTATGTTATATTCATGGGAAAATAATAGCATGTAGTTTCTAGTAAAGAAATTCAACAGAATACCGATTTCAATGTCTAGAACACAATATCATTGTACAAATAATTGCAACCAAAGACCAAATTCGACTTAAACAGTAAAATAACTTATGAAACTGCCGATTCAAATTTACTATAAATAACAGAACATTACGGCGTGGTAATTTTAATTTATAGCTAATGTTTTTTAATTGTTGTTAATTATAATCCAGAGCTAAGGGCATTATAATTACACGTTGGAACTCGAATAGTACGACAAGGGTCAACGAGGGTCTAACGGTCCCTTACATTTAATTTACTACAAAAAAGTTTTTTTAGATAGCAAAATATATTAAATATTTTTTAGTTTATACAAATAATCTAATAACGTTTTTAATTTGTATGATATTTTACAAATATAGATTATTTTTTAGTTATCTACTATAGAGAAGTGACTCTAAAGATATTATTATATTATTTTATGATAACAAATTAATGTTTGCCTGCAAACTGACATGAATAAAACAAATTTTATTTAACTGGATTTTTTTGAATAAATCCAACAAATATTTCTAATGTGCTATGAATGCTGCTGTGAATTCGATATTTGTTAACAATAAACGAATAAATTAATAGTGATGTTTTGGTCAACCGCTGTAATAATATAATTTATTTTTAAGGTTTCATTTAATATATTTTCGTACTGCCCTATATGTATAACGTATATACTGACTACTGAGAACAGACAAAAGTGGGTTAATGTTATACTTTTGTAATAATTAGGTTTTCGTTTTATTAGCATTAAATAGACATTGCGGGTTTTACACTAAACATATAATAATATAAAATTACAATTTTTTCAGTTGGGTTAACTTGCAAACAATTAAAATTAATATTAAAAATGACTTCAATGTGAATTAAACACAAAAATAGAAGGTTATTTTTTTATATACTATGAACTAAGCATTCTCATTTTATAATTTTCCCAGTTGCACCATTCATTGTACCTATGTTATTTTATAGTTTAAGGACCAAAAATATGTTCATCAGATTTAACATGATCAGCGCCGTTTTTCTCTTCTGTATCCTTTTCGGTATTAGTGTCTGTGTATAAATACTGAATATGTTTCGCTATGGATCTCATGTTTTTAATTTCACTTTATACTTTTTCAATTATTATTATCCTTAAAGATAAAAAATACTGTATGAACTGTAACTTTCATATATACCTACTATCGCAACTTCTCTTTTCATTTTTTTTTTCCGGGAAAACCAAATAAGTTCATTTCACGACCAAATGCAAGCGCATATACATGTATTAATATTTTCCCCAATATTTTAATATTTAAAGCTCTCCGCAAAATAGCTGAGCTCTTACTAAGTGGAGATAAGAAAAATATGTGTAGCATTAACGAAGGAAATCGAGTATGTTAACTCTCGGACCGAAATTCGACCTTTGTATCTCTCCGACATTAATAGGGTTGGTCAACCCGAACACCAACCTACGTAAAGACTATGCCTTTATATTTTTCATTCCGCATTCGAACCTGGCACATTTTCATTTGCCTACTATGCATTTAACTAACTTTCTCGCGTCTTTCATCATGGGAATAATTATAGTCCTCTATCCAATTATAGTATTTTTTGTAAATTTCATTTTTTTACTACAAAACCTTCTATGTACCAAACTGCCCCATTGTTTTTGAAATCGCTAAATGCCAACTGATATTTTTGTGTTTAAATAAACCCAACCTAACGAGTATTATCATAGAAATATAATCAAGTGTATTTCACCCGTTGACTGCCACGGTATATGCTTACATTTTAAATGGAATGTATAATGTATATAATATAATGTACATCAAAGTATAATTCACGTTTTCTTGACGTACATACACACACGTATCAAAAATATCTGACATGCTGTAATAATAAATTGTTTTTCATTACACAGTGCTATGTATTAGCTTTTCTTATGTATTATTATTATAATAATATTTATTATTTTATTTTCATGATAATTTTTATAAGAATAATATGTGAATCCAATTAACACGCGGGTTGTTACAGTATCACCATAATTTCGTCTCACTGGCACTAGTGGCTGTCTGGGTTGTACAAGAGTGATGAGGTTATTATCTTGATGACATTGTAGTATTATGTTTTTTTTTTTTAAATTATGGGTTTGTTTATTTTTAATGGCTGGAGTATTTGTCTTCCCAGTAATGTTATGTTACAGTTCGACCTTTTTGGAGCTGGTTAAAGAATAATTGATAGGTTAACAATATAAAATTATGAATGAACAAAAGTAAAAAAAAAATGTATCGTGTCTTGTTGAATACCACATTAAAAAAGATAAATATGTATTAAGGTCTCTATTTTAGTAAAAACCAAAATATTGATCCTCAATACGTTCCCGAGTTATAAATCTAAAGGCTAAACAAGTGATGAGAGTTCTACTGTAATTTATCAATTGCATCAACATATACAAATGCAAAGTCAATCAAGAAGATCAATCTGGAAAGTCACATAATTACACATAGTGTTCATTGTAAGTATGTACGAATTTAATTATAAAAGAAAACTATAAAACCGAATTAATATAACTTTACAAATTGTAAATTTGTCTGTATCCAATTTCACGAACTTAACCTAGTTATTTTACGGGAACCTTGTGATTCCTTTTCTTCGCAATGAGAATCGTCATCAGCTGTTGCCGAAATGAGAGCGTGAACGATTATTTTCTCTCTGGAATCGTGAAGGTATCCAACTTAGTCGCAGGGAACAGAGTTATCCGTCAAAGGAATAATCGACCATACACGTTTCTCTCTCGGTTCGTCCTTTTACAGTGTCGGCCCGGGATACCAGGCGGTGTTTTTTAATTATCTACGAAATGATAATAATTCGACGGCCCGCCTTGGCAAAATGGCGAATGATAATGGAATAATAATTATAATTTGATTATTATTGTTATTACCGCGCCGCACGCTCGTTTTGGAATATTGCTACTACGAAAACCGACAATAAATTGTACACTGCACGATATTATTATTATAATATCAATTGTGCGCGAATAATAATTATTAAAA